CCCTAGCAAATCCAAAATTCTTCATATTATACCTCCTTGTCCTTAAACCAATCTCTTTGTTTTCTAACTTCTCTCTCTCTCTCTCTCCTATTTTCTTGCATGGAATTCTCTCTTCCATTGGTTCAAAACTTGCATTTCCTTAAGGTAAGATGAAAAATGGCAATCACAGTTTCATAGAAACAAACAATGGTTTTCATGTTCTTTGCCTAAAGCTTTGATCAGTTCATGGGGTCGATTTACAATCCAATAAATATATCTTTTTCAAAACAAAAATTAAAAAGAGATTATTCTTTCCAGAAGAAGAAGAGCAATAATGTTGAAGAACATGGCTAATACTCAAGAACATCAGCTTTCTATTGTACATATCTTATTTTCTCACTCTATTTTTTGAGCATGTATTTACCTTGTTAACACTAATATTGTTTTTGTGTTGTTAATGAGTTAGTAATTAATTTGTTTTTAATGTATAAAATAATATTACCAGACAAGATTCAACTTAATTCTATTAACATGGGGGGTTGAGAGTTGAATGCTGTTTTTTCTCTTCTTTTTTTTATTATATAGTCCGTCTTTTCCTCTTTAAATAACGGTTTGAGATCTTGAATTAGATCATTAAATTCTTCTCTTGTTTTCTTTTTCCAATATTTGCTAAATTTCAACTTTACAATTTTTAGTGGTTACTCCAAATCAGATTCTTATTTTTCTTCTTTCGAGTTACTTAAAAATATTACTATGTAGATCACCCCTAGCAATATTAGTCCCTATTCTATATTATTTCCATTTTGAATTATAATGGAATATTTAGTTTTTCAAGTGTATTGCTTAAGTTTTCCTACAATGTAAAATGATTCTTTCTTTGGTTCCTAAGCAGACTTGGAGGAAATGAACTTTATTGCAAATGGAGCACTTCACATGCTAATAATAATGGGATATTAGTGCTGCTAAAGTTCCCATTGTTTGTCTAAATTTGGAGTATTTTAACTCAATCTTGCACCAAAGGTCACAATGCCATGAACTTCCATATTCTTTGCTATTTTGCTATCCAATTCTTGTTTTCATTTGCATACCATTTTCAGATCCCACAGGTCACATGGAGCACAAAAACATGTATTTTTTCATGTTTGGAAAATATATTCCAATGACATGATCATTATTCTCTTGATAATTCGTGTTTTTTAGATTGCTATGTGACCAGGAAGTCACAAGTTCGAGCCGTGGAAACAGCCTTTTGCAGAAATACAGGGTAAGACTGCGTAAAATTGACCCTTGTGGTCCGGCTCTTTCCTGGACCCCGCACATAGCGGGAGCTTAGTGCACTGGGCTGCCCTTTTAGATCGTCTTTAGATGCAAAGAGCTCTTATTCATGCACTTGAGATTGGAAAAGATGATTATTAACTAACATACGTAAGAGTTTTGATTCCATTCTATCATGAAAAAGGATAGAAGAAAGATGCTGCAAAATTAAGGTTCTTTTTAGTTTTTGCTAAAGAAAAATGAGATGTAAAATTGTGACAGAGATTTTAATTGTGGAATTTTGTTCTTTTTGTTTCTTTGCAGGAAGAGATGTCTAGCCCCCTAAGTGATCAAATTCTGAATTTCTGTGAGTCTGAATTGTTTCCAAATGTACAGAATTCAGAAGTTGCTTCTAGCTCAAATTGTTGCAGTTATGAGGAACAGAGTTCATATTCTACCAATCTTGACATGAACAAATTCAATAATACTATTGAGAAGAATGAAGAAACCAACATCACCACAGTTACATCTAATATTAGTCCTTCACGAACCAACAACAACAACAACAACGACAACAACAACAACATTAATAACAACGCTCTCTCAATAATATTTGATTCTCATGAAGATCAAATTGAGAATGATATTTCAGCTTCAATTGAGTTCACACAAGATGCAAACTTCTCAATCCCTCATCATTTACTTAATCCTCAACAAGAATTATTCGACATTAATTCTCTCAACAATCAACATATTAAAGTAACCGATGTTTCTCAGTATCCTCCTGATCATCCTCCTCCTCCTATTGTTCCACTTATGGGACCTCCATTAGGACATATATATGAAGAGGAATCTTTGTCATCAGTTCCTTCTTACATGCGCGTTCCTACTTCTTCTTCTTCTCCTTCTTGTCCTCTTCTTGATCCTACACTCGCAAACTACTTACCTTTAAACTCAAATCCTACCATGCCTGTTGCTGAATCTTCAGCAATACTTGCTGCTGCCACCACTGGTGGTGGCTTGTTTTTCGGTGCTGAGTTTCCACAAGTACAAGAATTGGAATATCAAGGAGACAGTGGTAGATTATTTTGCCCTGATGCCTTGCCAAGAGTTTATAACTGCTCTAACGAGCTTCAGGTACTGTTATAGTGAGTAAAGTTAATACGACAAAAGATAGTTCTAACGTTAAAGCTAGCTCTAGCTTTTGTTATAGTTATATTCAATGTTATAAAGTTTTTGTTGTAAATTTTAATCGTGCAGGCACTCAGCAATGAGAGTCAACATTTGGTTAGTGCTACCGGATGTTCTAACCCGTTGGCATCAGATATAACAAGTTTGGATGATCCTTCCTTCAGTAATAATGTTGTCAAATGCTCTCCTGAGGAGAGGAGGGAGAAGATTAATAGATACATGAAGAAACGGAACGAGAGGAATTTTAGCAAGAAAATCAAGGTCTGCATCTCCTACTTCTCATATCAAGTTTAAGTTCTATGAACTGATAATATATATAAGTTCTTTACACCATCAAGAACGCGTAACTTTTCATATCAAGTTTGTTATGGTAACCTCGAAAATAAAGTAAGAATTTGCTATAATCAGTTACATAGTACTTATAGATAAATCATTCTTTATACTGTCAGTGTATATAACTTAATCAGCATTCGCTAACGAGTCTGAGTTTTGGATCCAAATTTTGCAGTATGCATGCAGGAAAACATTAGCAGACAGTAGGCCAAGGGTGAGGGGAAGATTTGCAAAGAATGATGAATTTGGGGAAGCAAATAAGGCAACTTCTTGTGGTACACATGAAGATGACACAAAAGAAGATGTAAAACTCAATCTTTTATACCATCATGATCCTAATATGATTACTTCTTCAGGACATGAAAATAATGGTCGGATTTTCACTTCCAATTGCCACTCATCTAACAGTCCTTATGATATTTGCCCCCCTCTGTATTGCACAGATGGCCAGTTGCACTAATGAATTCCACAGCTGAAACAAGTACTCTTCAAAAACTATCTTTAATTTGCTTTTTTTGGTTTCCTTTTGCAGTCAGACTTCTCTATAATAACATCCCTATATAATAGCCATTCATTATAAAGTCAGGTTTTTTCTGAAAACCGATTTTTTATGTTATGTCATAACATATGTACTTTATAACAAGGGATTGTTACATAAATAGCCGGCCGGTCAGATTCAATATTTACTTTTTCTAGCCGGTATACATAGATTATACATTGATTACATATAATTATACATATATTGTACATGGATTATATATATATTATAACATCCGCCGGCTATTTCTATTTAAGAGATTAAGTGAGCGGCTATTGGGTTAATTCTTCTTATAACAACGTCACTCCATTATAGCAACCAAAATATATCAGAATAAACGCGGCTGTTATAGAGAAGTTTGACTGTATAAGTTGTAATTCCATTGTCTTTTGCTAACGAGTTTTATTTTTTTTGGTTGAAGTTAGGTCTGGTGGTGAAAAATAACAAGATGGAACTGGTGAAGTTGTAGGATATCATTGCACATACCCATTGGTGTAAATAACTTCAATAATTAGCAAATACTTCAACCACCAATCTTGGGTTTCATCAGGCAGCTTTAATTTGTGTAGTTTTCAAACAACAATTTAGTATAATGTGGGTCATTTCAACATTGAAGTCTAGTAATAATTCAATGAATATCATAGTGAAGAGATGTAAATTTTGTAAATCTGTACTATCACAAGTTGCATTCTTGTCAAATCACTTGCATTTTTATTAGCTTTGATGAGTTGCCAACTTAGATAAAGTTGTGTTTGTACTTGTTCTAGTCATGTTAATTATATGTATACTTTCTCTTACAATATTACATAAGAAGTGGTCCACAGTCATTGCTTTAGAAATATTTTATCAGATTGAACTGTTAATCATATATATGCTTTGTAACGGTAAAGAAGTCGAGGATCTATCGAAAACAGTTATCTGCATACACACTACCTAAGTTGTCGAGTATCTATCTGAAACAAATTCTCAACCTTGTGTAGAGTAAAATTTGTATGCACACTACCCTCTCCGACCCTCACTTGTCTTATTGTCATGAGTGGGTGGCGAAGAAGTCGAGGATCTGTCGAGAATTTATCTGAAACAAATTCTCTACCTTGTGTAGAGTAAAATTTGTATGCACACTACCCTCTCCGACCCCCACTTGTCTGATTGTCATGAGTGGGTCTGTCGTCCTCTCACTATAGTCCACCTAGAATCCAAAGCATTTCGTCGAAAATACATCCTGTCTTTTCACCTTAATAGTCCTATGCATACTTGGGATGGAAAAAGTTCATCCACCTAGAATCCAAAGCATTTCGTCGAAATACATCCTGTCTTTTCACCTTAATAGTCCTATGCATACTTGGGATGGAAAAAGTTCATCCACCTAGAATCCAAAGCATTTCGTCGAAATACATCCTGTCTTTTCACCTTAATAGTCCTATGCATACTTGGATGGAAAAAGTTCATGCTTAAAAAAAGCTTTCGCTTTTCGATCAAGCTCACAAACAGGCAAAGACATTCTTATCTAATTAACACCCTTCATTTCTCTAAAATTATACTTCGCTCGAAAATTATACTCTGTAAATAGATAATATGTTTTACTAAGCCTTGAAGTTAAGGTTATTGCATGCCATTAACACACTTCAAGAACCAAACAAACAAGTGAACATAGTAACATATATTAATCAAGTATTTAGGACTACTGGATTAATTTTTTTATAGGTAATCTTTACAACGATTAGACACTACACAGGACCAGTTCTGGTACAAAGACTTAAAAAAACATGGCAAAATACAAGTTCAATTCCAGGCTATTGCCCTGCTTATTACAATGCTTTATATACTCTTAATAATAGTCTTGCCAACTCTTTTTATTAGGAGCATTCATCGGCAGTTCACATTGCAACTATTCCTCCTTCAACCATCCCTCAGCTTCCATTTGTATCTTTGCACAATATTCGAACAAACTTCCGTCGAAACAGCGCCTTATCGCTTCTTTAGATAGAAAACCATCCTGATCTCTAGCAAGAACATACAGAATTCCCCACTCTAGTTTGGCTGCAATCCTGCACAATTACACACCAAACGAAGGACAGAGAAAGAAATCGACGTTCAAAATATAGAGGTCGGAGGGAAGGTTCAATTGAGACAGTAGTACTAGGGCGTGCGAGTTAAAATGAGAGCATTGGAGTCTGAAGAGTTACCAGCCAAAAAGGTCGAACGCCTCCCTGTTGCCTTCAGTCATGTCCCAGAGTTCTCCAAGAGTAAGCTTATCAGGCAGCGTACGGGCATACTTGCTAAAAATGTTCTCAAAATGCACTGGGAAATACCTATAGGAGGCGACCAGATAAACGAAAATCATCAGCTTGACTTTCAAAGGATGTCGAAAATATGAGTCAAAGAGGGACTGTAAATTTGTAATATGCTAACCTGCCCTCTCTGTCATAGGTGTGAGTATCACTTCCATGCTTGCACTTATGTATATTATGGATATATATTGGGAGAAATGGAGAAGGAAACCACCCCTGCAGAGTCGCATCGAATACCGCTTTAATGAAAAGAGACTATATACACAACATCAATAACTATGTCTCAGTCGGAGTAAGTGAAGAGAGGCTATACACATCCAGGAAAAAATAGTAAACAATAAGTAAATAACCTTAGCTCTATTGAATGCCATAACATACACATTAACTTACCGGCAAAGTAGGATAACTCAAAGCAGCATTGATGATAATGGCAATTATAAGAGATGCTATCATATTGAAACCGATTTGACGAAGTCCTGTTTAAAATGAAAAGAACAAAGCAGAGGAAGGTTTCAGATTAAATTTCATCAGATCATCACAATCATACACTTTGGATATTAATGAATCGCATCAACAAGGATATCTGCTGAATGAAATAAATTCTTGAACTGAACATAGTTAAATGTTTAAGTCTGAATGCTACAGATGACACATTTTCTCTGTAGAAATGCTCAATAAAACAGATCAGTACCTGCTTTAAGTATTCGAAATCTATTTTTCAGAAGCGTAATGAGCGATAGTAATACAGCCTAGCAACGCTAATAGCCTTGAATTTGACGGCTGAATTACAGATCACCTAGTCAATTAATAGCATAACACTAGAATGTAGCCCTGTGAGACATACAATCTGTTTTCAACAATTATAATCTTTTTTGGTTACCTATCTACATTAAAATTAAATCTACCTTTTGATGAATTTCGAAATAGGATGATTACCAGAGTAAGTTTCCCATGGGTAAATAATGCCATTTTCATCCTGATCAAAGAAGGCAACGTGCTGCTGCATAACGCTCAAGCCGTGGTGCCTGTGGCCAGGAGTTCCATGGGGATGCTCCATATCAGGAGCCACTAATCCCCTTGCCAGATCTGAATATACATTATCACATCTTTAAACATTATATTATTATACTATAATAACAATCTTTAAGCAAAAAACCCATACTTACACGGTATGTGGTACTCCAAACTAACAAATCTACTAGTTGAAGTCTGAATCAGATGTTAAACAACCAATATAGAAAGTTTACAATACTTTTCCACTTTTAGAAGACGAGAGATTAGCTAGGCAAAGGCAAGTAGTTCTATATATTGCTCCATTCAATCAATAATTCTTCTAATCAGAAACTCTACCTCAATGAGGCTGCATCGATACATAAGTACTTCGATATTGTAGTTCCAAATTGCAATTTTTCCGAGTCCAATTTTTTGAAGTTGTGGTTCTATAGTGTATGATTTCGGGTGAAATTTTTTAGGTTTTCAACTTTTATTCTCAAACTTTAAACTTCCATAGATCCTCAAAAGATTGCTACTACTCAATTATATGTTTCCCAAACTCAACTTCAAAAGAGCCTATTTTCCAAGCTTTAATTTCAAATGTTTTCCTAACCGCATTGCATCAACAAGTAGTCTTTCAACTAAATAAAGTCCCCTTGTTCTATTCCCAAGCAGATCCAAGATTTATGGGTTCCTACAACGAAGTCAACATTAACTTAATATACAAGTGACCTCAGGTTAATATATAATGATTTAGCTTGTTACAAGCGACCTCAGGTTAATATACAATAATTAACTGGGTTCACAACTAAATACAGGTATACAACTAAATACAGGTGAACCCAAAATTCACCTTGTAGATACTCCCCTACAGTGGGGTATCTAGCCTTATGGTAGCGGGTAAACCTGGTACTTTTGATGTGGAACATAAATTTATGGTAGCGGGGAAACCTCGTAGTACTTTTAATGCGGAGCATAAATTTATGATAGCGGGTAAACCTGGTACTTTTGATGTGGAGCATAAATTTGTTAGGTGCTAGAACAAAATATCCCACATAGAAAGTAGAAAGAAAAAAGATTTTACTTACAAGGAGTTGGATACTCTCGTGAGGCCTTTTGAGAAAAATCGTCTAGGCTTGACCCCAAGCAGACAATATCACACCATATTAAAGAATATTTTGGGACGTTTTATCCCAGCAAATTTATGTGTAAAAATTTATTAATATAATATTGCAACAAATAGTAGCTATGAACACGTAACTTTAAAAATATAATGAGTTCAATGCTAGAAAACTTTCTAAAGTATATTACTTAAAATATTTGCACGTAAATTATCAACACAAGTGCAATTACTAACTCGAAAAATAAGACTAATGACCTTTTATAACAAGTTATAAATTGCATTAATGATGTAAAAATTACATTACACCATCTGTGGAATGAGTTAAATCATCATTTACAAACACAAAAATTCCCACATTAATCAGAAAAGAAAACCGAGCTTACAAGGCTTTGGAATAGAAGTTTCCAAGTCAGTTCTAACTTTCCGTTCAATAGTCACCGGAGCAAGCGGCGCCTCCGGCGATAACGCCGCATTCCGATCAATCCCCGTTACTGCAACCGTCGCCATTTCACCAAATTCTCAAACTGCAGCAACTTCTCAAACCACCTTTTGGTACTTAAAGACTCCAAGAAAGTACCAAAAGCGTGACCATAAACAAGAAATGTGAAGAAAGAGTAAAAGAGATCAGCTCAAGAACTTCGTGGCATAGTGCATGCATTTGAGCATTGGATTATATAAACCAAGTGGAATTGCATGCATGTTCTTTACACCTAGCAAGTGACAGTTGTTGCTGGTTTTGACACGTATGCTTCAAAGGTGTCATTGCTTTTCTGACTTGGACAGCTTAAAAGTTTTTAAACCTAATATTTTCAATCCGAAATATAAATTTATACGTAAAAATCTATTAAATTTTTATAAATATATAGAACTGAACCCATGAGTCTAAAAATATAATGAGTTTAATTTTAAAAATTTTATGAATTAAACATATAAAGTTTAAATTCTAGATGGCTTTGCGTAAAAGAAGAATGGAATTTTTGGATTAATTGTCATCTTCTTTGGAAAAAGCTTGTAACGCTTAGCCCCTGACATAAGACTTCTTGGATTTACATGATTCAATGCCGAACTGTACAAACATTTTCTCGAACAAGCAAACAAAAGTATCTTTTGTTACGAAGTCGTAAGGAACTGACTTTGGACTCAGGTGCATGCCTTCTGGATTTGGATCTGAAATTTATAGTAATATTTTTCAATAAAAGTGGTGCTTCGTTCAATTGGCATCTCGATTTTTTATCCAATATTTAATTATTCATGGAAATTTAAGCAATTGAAAAAAAATTATTTATTCGCTTTTTATGCACTTTTGGTTTTGGTTTGTTCTAAAAAATGATATTTATTTAAAAATAATTTAACTTTATTTTTTTATTTTTATCCTTAATGAGATGATTTATAGCTACATAAATGTCTATGGATTAT